ACGAAATAATTGGAAATAAAAGTATGTGTGTTGCGACCTTGCTGTGAGGGCGTGCGGCGGGAAGGACACGCGCCAGCCCCCCCCCCTACGTACCGTGACTTTGTGCTGGCCCGTCAGATTGGGCCACTCGCACAGCAGCTGCGTCTCCGACAGCGTCAGCACGCAGGGCGTCTCGCCGATTAGCACCGTGTAGTTCAGCTTCGAGTTCCCTGGTGCTGATGGAATCAGGTTCCGGCCCTTTAAAACAGAACAACCCCCCCCATCCCGACTCATTAGAGCTTCTCAAAATGCAAAAGAGGAAGAAAAAAAAATGGCACCACCATAGACTACAAATAAAGACCTTTCCTGTTTGCACCCCTTGCCTGTTAAGAATCTATTTAAACAGGACAATCCGTCTGCTGATAATCTGGGCCGTGAAACATCGATTAAGGCGAACTGTGACTCTGTTTTTCAAGGAACGTTAACAAGGACAATGCAAATGAACGACGGACGGCTTCTGCGACAGGAGGGCTGCCGAAGCTGCCCAAACGCGCGACAGCGTCTCCCAACAACACACCAGCAGGGGAATGGAGCAAACGTCAGCATGTCTGCATTATCCACTTAACAGTTTTTTTTTTTTTTGTCTCCCGAAGAGCTCAGGTCTGGAACCCATTGAGTGTTGAGCTCTTTTGGCATCAATATGTTGAGGAACCAGGGGAATCAATTACATGGGTGAATAACCATTAAAACGTACATCTTAATTTCAAGTGGGTTACAATTTACATTACCCAAGAGATTCTACTATGGAAAAATAATTGGATAAAAAATGTGATGCACACCTAATGTAGCCCTGATTATTTTATGGAATTTCCCCTTTTACTTTGTATTATTTCTCACTAATGCAGTGAGTTTGCTGGCAGAGAAATTTGAAAAAAAAAGAAAAAAAAGGTTTCATTACTGGCTTCTCATTTTAACAGAGAAATAATGAGTCATATCTCCCCCCCCCCCCCTCCATTTCTTTTTAATTTGCTCATAGAAATAAAAGGCTTCTTTTTTCATAAAATAGTATGGTGGTTTTAAGTACAGCTTTGAAGTTCAAAGAGCAGAAGAATGCAGAATTCATAAGAAATATTAGATGCAGCAAGAGACTCAAAAATGGATCCATTAGAAATAAAAATGCAGCGCTAAACATGTTGGAATTTTAATTGACACGGAAGGGAAGTTCACATTCGGAGTTGTGTGGGGAATATGCAAGAGCAGCTGTGTGCAGGGAAATACTGACACTAATACAGAACAGGCGTGGCGGCCAAAACCAGGCCGCTGTCTCCCTTTGAGGGGGACAGGGGAATGCTGGGTATGTCAGCCATATTGAAAATTTCACTGCTTTACAAACAATAGCAGAGATACAAAACCAACTCATTATTCTTTTTGTTGGCGACACACAAAGGGATTGTGACTCTTTGCTAATTTCCAATGCAGTTTGCCCGGCTATTGTGTCCAATCATCCCACTGCTAGTAGTATTTAGCAAATGATACAATTAGCATTGACACCAGGGCTGAGAAATGGAAAGGCCGTTTCACAGCTTCTTCCCAAAGGAGTGTGGGGCTTCTTGTTTAAGCCAATTGGTCAAGTGGACCTCACATGGTGACATGTCCACCCAGAACCAGCCTGAGGGATACAAAAGAATATATCAAGCTGCCCATCATTTAAGACTACTTATTAATGACTTGAGAAAATACAATACTTAACTACATTTTCTATTACAAAAGTGAATGGTCATTGTAATAATTATTAATATTACATATGTATCACTCATGTGATGAAGCTGTATGAATAAGCAAGATGGATGGATCTCTCTGATTGGTGCTGTGATGTTGGTGGGGGTGGGGTTATGTAACCAGTGCACCGATCTGAATGGTTAGTTCTATTCCTAGTTGTACCTTCAGGATTAGTGGGGAGCTGGGTTTCAGCTCCAGGACCCCAGTCGGGCTCAAGGGCTCGAAGACGGGGTCCGGGTAGTAGCTGAACGTCTCGTTGACCACCAGCACGGACTGCACGTTGTCCATGATGAAGCCGATCTCGTCCGGCCCGGTTCCCAGCTCCGAGATGCTCATCTCTGAGTCTGCCACGGAGGGCGCGAGGCACACCATCACCGTGTTGTTGTAGACCGTGCAGTTCTGCGCGAGGAAGGGAAGTGCCATCTCAGTGGGCGTCTCATACTGAGCAAAGTTTTGCATGCTGTAGATTAACGGTCTAACTGCTCCTTGTGGCCGAACCCGGGCTTGAAGAAATTCTGCTTCTGAATCAGTTTGTGGTCAACAGATAATGTTTGAATCCTTAAGTGGTATGTCACTACTACATTATGATTCAGTTGTAGAGAGCGACTCCAAACACAAAGCACATTTTCCAGTAGAAAACAGCAGTTCTTTCAGTCTCCCTCAGGCTCTCTGATTAGGTAAGCCCTGCAGTGCCAGGTACGAACAGATCCATCAGTTTCAAGGGCAGATGACATTTCAAAGTTTAAACAGCCAGGATCTTCAGAGGCCACAAGCTGTTTCATAAACAGACCGCCTGCTATCATGGGTCATGTCATGTGTAGGTAGGTGTCTGGGTTCATACTCACGTGGACTGACTTGGCAGAACCGTGCTTTGCCTGCATCTTGGGCTCCTTGATCGTGGCCAGATTGGTGCCGCTGATGGTCAATGGTGTTCCGCCACTGAGACGACAAACGGCAGAGGAGTCAGTCAACAGACCGCGACGGTTCCTTCGAACCATTAATCGACTGCAAGGTTTCCCAGATGCTGCCTTCTGAGGGAACAAAGAAAGTAGAGATAAGCGCAGAGGAAGAGGCACCCTGGATACAGTCAGCTGAAAGACACTCAACCTCCCCCCCGCCACCCACCCCCCCGCTGCGCTGCCTTGCCGTGTCTCGCCGCACGTATGTGCAACTTAGCAGTTTTTGGACGCATTTCATTTCACGGGTTCCGCAAGTCTTCTAATGTTATTTATGCTGAGTTTCGAGCCTTCGGCCCTCTGCCCGGAATCCGTGCAGAGTCGGGTAAAATAAAAATAATAATAAAAAAACAGCACGGAATAATGAACAGGATTTCCAAAATAGATTTTTCTTCCCTTCGCATCTGCGACAACTACATCTGTGGATCGCATCTCCTGCATCAATACAAACCTTTCTGTGGGAGTGTTGGGGTGGGTCTTATTTATAGCATTGTCAAGGGCAATGGTGAGTAACACTGGCCCATGTGGACCAAATGAAGTCCTCAGACCACTTCAAAACCTATAACTTCAGAAGACAGGACACACGCGAATGCCTGAAGTCATCAATTTAACAGACAGACTATCACCCTTGAGGCCTAAACACAGAAAATGAACGTATCAATAAACACCAATTTCATCACAGTAGACGCTAAACCTACAGAGGTCACCGTATATGTGCTGAGCAACCGTGCCCGTTAAATCCGGGAAGTCTGAACCAGAGCGAACCACGGTGACATTTTGAAGGAGACACAGGGGTTGAATCCTCTCTCTCTCGCAAGATGAAGTCAGGACATGGCCATTCCAGACACCAGCCAACTTAATGACGGCAAGTCACTGCGACGAAACGTGCAGAGAACTGGCTTGTCTCGTTGTTAAATCTAAAAATGCAACCATACTGTCAATTCCTGCCACTCTGTAATCTGAGTGCCTATGGGCAAAATCCAAAATCTTCAAAAAATCTCAGCACAAGCAAATAGAGTTGTGTATAACTTGTAGCCTGAAGGGCTGAGCATGTGTCTTGACTGCTGGGGCAGCCTAAACAGGGTAAACGTGTTGCTGGGAATAACCGTCCAAAATTTTCTGGTCAGATTGTTTTGTATTTTTGTTTTTTTTTTTTTCTTCTGGGGAACACGTGACCTTTGATGGTGAGAGATATGTGATCTTGGCTCTGGGCCACCGTTCGGGTCTGCCAGCACCCAGTAATTAACAAAAGCTTCAGCTGTGGAGGAATTATGGTTCTTGAGCAGGACCCTTGGAGGCCTGAAGCCGCGCCAATGGAGATCCAGGGATTTAGAGTCTGCAGGCAGCCAGATGGAGGCCGATATTTAAGCCGCGGTGACAAGCCTGTTTGGGGAACGGCCGTCCGTCCGTGTTCCGTTAATAGGCTGCTCAGCCCAATTCAACCCTGGCACCGGTTGCCATGAAGAAGTGATCCGTGGGACGGCGAAAAGGATGCGACCATCCCTCAACTCAGGACACAGAGAATCAGGAAAATTCTCCTCCTTGTCCCATCATGCTGGGGAAATACCTCCCTGTAGCTGGTAACGTGCATGCTAAATAGCAGTGAGCCTACAGGGAGCAGGGAGAAGAGAAGATCTGAGGAGGACAAAGGAGACAGGCCACTTGATGGTACCGTTTGTCGGTGGGTATCTTCCTTCTGGGGAAAGCAGGTTAAAAGCACCTCATTGCGACACTTAAGAGGAAGCGCTGGCATTGTTGGCCTTTCCCACCCTCACAGATATTTCCAACAACTGGCTCTCTCTGATCTGTCATGGACCCCTTGTATTTTTTTGGTTTGCTGTCCCAGTGGCACTAAAGGGACAAAACGATTGACATGCTGGTTCGGGAAATAGACCTGTTGTCAAATGAGGTCCCATTTAAGCACAACGATGACAGCCGCCGCTGTACCCCGAAGCTAATCGTTTTCATAATGCGTGGAAAGATCTCATGTTCCTCACACAACTACTCAAAAGGAGTCTCCTGGCACACACACACCCCCCCCCTCCGTCCCTCCCCCATTTCACACCCCATGGACTCCCAGGTAAGTGCCCGTTTTCACGCCATGGGCCGGTTGGGTGGTTTAGCTCCCCACAGCAGGGCCGATGCCCACCCGGAATACCGGCTTCCTGCTTCCAGGATCCACAACCCTGAAGGAGGACCCAAGAGGAACTCCAGGTATTCAAGAGAAGATAGACCTCAGAACATTGATGCAGATGGAAGAGAGGGGTCAAGCAGTGAGAATTAACACTGGAGGAAACAAGACAACGATAAAGTCATTTTTTTTGTATAAGATGCAGTGTTCTTTTGGGGGTCTGAAGTAAACACAACCATCTTACTGCAACTCAGAGCTGTGCCACCCGTGGGAAACGATTCACAGCCTAAATACTAACATTTTACATTACATTTATTTTATTTAGTAGGCACATAGCACATTAGTAGGCACATAGCACATTAGTAAGCAAATAGCACATTACATACAGTATGTGCTGTCAAGAAGTTCAGTAGGCAAAAGCACAGCAAGGCTGAGTTTCCAGTGAACGCCCAGTTACAAGCGTAAGCAGTACTGGAGCAACAGCTACATCTTCCAAAGCAAAGCAGGAACCTAATAAGAGTACAATTCATAAAAGCAGAAAATGCAACATTAAGAGCATTCAGGGAATATGGAGTGGTGTTGGCTAGTAGAGGAGTTCCTGGAACAGATGGGTCTTGAGGCCTTTATTTAAGGGAGAGAGAGAGAGTCTGACGGCCGGATGCTTGGCAGCATCTGGGAACCGCACATGAGAAATGCTGGACCATATTACCTAGCAATGCTCCAGTCAGGGTCGATTCTGAGAATGGTGGGGTCCTCGGTGTAGTTGAATTTGACCTCTGGGTTCCGCAGTTCGGCCCAGTTGATGTCCACCATGACGGGAGCGGCACCAGGACTCTGGCCAGCTGGAGTCACGCACACGATCTCCTTGGCTCTCCTCCTAAACCGCAAAACGACATGTCAGCTGCCGGGAAACACTAAATGGATGAAAACGGGGGCTTGGTGAGACAGGTGCATTAGGGCTCACATCCACCGGCATTTTTATAATCATTCCGCCCCCTCCAAACCAGCTGTGGTCCTGTGACCAGTCCCGGACTCCCTATGTCATGTTTCTCTACCCTACTGACCTCACTGACTCCTCCCAGGCGACATCACCCTGGACCGCAAACCCCACCCCTCATAAGCCAACCATTTCAAGCTCAATCCACAAAGTCACATGGTTTTGTCTGCTGACCTCATTGGAGCAGGTCTGTATTTCACCCTCCAACGAGTCTTTCCATTTATGCCTAGTGAATTGGCATGGATTTGCAAAAAAAGCACATTGGACAGTGCATGAGGGCAAAATTTTGGCTTTCAGTGCGTGCGTGCGTGTGCGTGTGTGTGTGTGTGAGACATGTGCGTGCCTGTGAGTGTGACAGCCACCTCCAGTGCATCCCTATGCAGCTGTCAGAAAAACGTGGGCCTACATCAAGGCAGCAAATGCCTTCCCTGTTTCCCAACATGCATGCTGCATGTAAATCAATTTGATCCACTGCGTGCTTGAGCGAGGGACTTGGCGTGGCGTACATTTAAGCAAAACAAAAAAGAAACAAAAACTCCTAAGGCTTAATAAATTGGAAATAAATTTTTATTTTCGCATTCATACCCCCGCCATCATGTAAGAGCAATTCTATCTTGCCGGCCCTGACGGGAAAAAGGGAAAAGGCGAGCGCAGTGTTTTCTTTCCCCCTCACCGATTCTCCTCTAGCAGCGTTTCCATGGGAACCTCTTTCATAACGCTGCTTGCAGAAGCCCGGAGAGAGCAGTACATATTTTGACAAGGTGTTTGTCGCAAACAAAGAATGAGGAGAGCGAGAGGGAAGGTGAGAGAAATGGGGGTTTGTAAGCACTGATAAGCTACTGAATTCATTTTCTTCCTTTTTTTTCTTGAAATTTTACGCATGTATGAAAATGACACGTTCTGAAATGAGAAAGTCTCGATCGCTTAAAGATGAGCAGGGGTTGAACACTGAGAGATGAAAGCTCGTCTTAAAAGCTTACTTTAAGCTACCTTGAAACAAAAGGGCATTTCACTCTCCAGTAATACCTACGTAAAGATCACAAAAAAAAAAAAATCCGCAAAAACACAAAGTGTATTAAAACAGCATGTCAGAGCTGTCTTCAAAGTAAACAAGCATTCTGTGTTAAAATTCTGAATACTTCATTTTTTTGCCATCTGCAATTACAGAGGGCTCTCAATTTGCAGGAGAGCTGGGTTCTGGAAACACGTGTGTATTTTAAACAGTCTTTCCCTCATTGAAAAACAAATACCAAATGACATGAAATTCATGTTATTTTGATTCATGTCATGTATTTTAAAGAATCCTCGAGCATATATGGTGTTATATCAAAATCACACATTTTATACTTGAGTAAAAAGAGAACCCAATGTAGTGGTGAACGGTATCCAAATTTTAAGCGCTAAATTATTTCCAAATGAGCGCCATAGCCTTACAAAGCTTGCATAAAAATTAGAGAAAGCAAATAATAATAATTAGGCTAATCGGTATACTGCCTAGGCTTCAGAGGTGGGCTGCGCCATAGTCAACGACTGGGATGAGAATCCCAGTGCGCTGCGGGTATCAGAAAGATGACGACATGCTCCACACCAAGTCCAGGTTTCAAATGTGGCCAGAGAGCAGGAGATCGAAGTAGAGGCAGTGATCTACACACATCATTACCCTTCGAAAATATCCCCCACCAGGTGAAATTCAGAACCCTAAACCCAAGCATGAGGTAGAGTAAATCTAAGTATTTAACATGCATCGATATTCCATAATGGCTTCGAGTACAGGGCCCTGGTGAGATTGGAGTCTGCAGGGGACACGCTGGACCCCAGCCACACACCCACGCTGTCACTTACTATGGGCAATTCAGACACACCAGTTCATCTAAACTTCAGGCCTGTGAAAGGGTAGGAGGACGTCATGGAGAAAAGCATGTAAACGGCACACATACAGACCCGGGCGCATTCAAACCCGCCTAGAAATGTATTCTAAAAACAAATTAAAAATTCTCAATCTTGGGTCACTCTCCCTCCTCACAGACACATACATATTCTGACGCAAGAGAAGATGTCAGTCGAGTCTATGAATAATATCCGGTGTTTAAAAGCAGTCGTCTCGAATCATTCGAAAAATTACCAATGCGGGATGAAATATCAAGTTTTCGACTGCCAACTTAATTCCTGTATGTTTATTCACGATAATGCAAGAAGCCCTCAGCAGCATTCATCACCATCCTTATCTGACATTTAGCTTCAGAATGCTCTTGCTAAGAATATGCTAATACCCAATCAGAAAGAACAGGCTTCTTTATTAGATTTTTGCGCCAAAGGTACAATGACATTTGGCGTTAGCTGGGAACGCACCACCTTCTCAGAAAAGAGCAGGACAGAGGATATTTCATTGGTCTATTAGGCTGGCTTTGGCCTTGGGTATCATCACACGCACATGTGTACCATTTTCCAGCAAGAGGCAGCAGATGTTCTGGCCTGTTAAGCAGCTGGTGAACCTCCTGAGCTTCAGGCCTTCACATGTTTGTCTTTAGCTGCTAGGCTAACGCGGTTATTTAGAGTCTTGCAGTTTCACCAATTTATATCGCTGGATACTTTAGCAAGGCAACTCAAATCGCTCATAGGTGCTACGGCCCAGGAGTCGAGCCAGAACCCGGCAGATTGACGTGACCATGTGTTCATGCTCGGCGCCACCTGCTGGCCGTGGCGACGTGAGGTGGCAGGGAGCAGGGAGACCCACCTCTCGAAGCGGCACGGGTGCAGGCCGATTTTGACCGACACTGCGCTACCAGCGTTGAGGTGGTTGCCCTCGATGGTGATCCTGGTGCCCCCAGACAGCGGACCGTGGGACGGCTGCACGCGGGTGAAGAAGGGGGTCTGTGGGCAAACAATGGCGGGACCAGTTTCAGAATACAGTGGGAACAGTGTGAGAGGTGTGAGCATGTCACTCATGCAGTGAGAAAGAGATTCTGGAACAGCGATGCCCGCAAAATGTGATTTAGCGTCGTTCATAAGGAATAACACAATAACTTACAAATTAAGGTTAATCAATTTTTAGGATGTGAGGAAAAAAGACGCAAAGAATGGAACTGAACAGCAGCATTCAGTGCTGGCAAAGATTTTGGGGCCCATGAAAGCATGTCATACTGGGCCCCCACCAATCCAACTTTGTTCTAAATTTTTTGGGCCCCTTGTAATTGCCCATACTTTCCTTCCTCTTTACGGCCCCTTTGCCCACTGTCATGCAATCCCATCACCTTATGAACGGGCTACAATCCCGCAGTCCTGAGCTTATTGCCCTGACGCTTACTCACCACAAAGGTGAAGGCCTTGTGGGACAGGGTGCGGTACTCGGGCTGACAGTCCCGCACGCACACCTCCACTGGGGCATCCTGCACCCGGTACCCCGTGGCGTCCGTCAGCTCACACACGATCCTGGGGGAGACATTTCACATTTAAAAATTCCTTAGTGTGTTAGTCGGTTCTGGAAGTAACCAGCGAATCAATGCAGGGGGATGAACAAACAGCAGCAGATGCACGGAACGTTTATGCGATTCGTGAACCATAGCAAAGCACTGATCAGCACAGTGGTGGACTTCTGTACCCCATATTTTTGACACACCGAGTGTCCAGATTAAGACCTAACGGCACGGGCCAAAGGTTAACGCCTCAGGGCTTCGTCTCACTCTGCCAGTCGCACCCGGCCCGCTGTTCACGTGGCCCCCTCCCGCAGCGACCCGGTCACACTCTGCTGATCACATGCAGGAGTACAAGGGCAGCCTACTCCAGGGACTAGAGCCAGCAGCCTTTGTGTCTGGAACAGTGGATGTGGCTTTGGGTCCCCCCCCCCCCTCTAAGGTGGACATATCAAACTGGCACTTTGGAAAACGGACGAGAGATCAAACTTCCCCGACGAAAACTGCATCCGTGCTACAGACCAGGTCCTATTCTTCTTGATAGCACAAGGAGATTTTCAGCACAGAACTGACACCTTTTAGAAACAAAAGATCTTGCCTGATTTGTATCTGGAGTGAATGTAAAGCCTGATTTAAGCACTCCCAATTGACTTTATTAAGAGGGCAAACGGCCTTTCCCGCTTTTAAGAGAAGCTGGGTGAACACAGGAGACCCACTGATGACTCTCTTGATGTATGGGATGCTTTCAGTCAGCCAAATTAACAGCTGTTTCCTGGCAATGCAGAGCCACGGTACAGAAGACAGGGTCCCTTTGCTATTGACGCCCAGCGCACGTTTCTCGGCCGTCATTTGTCAGGTGCTGTGTGCAGAAAAAAAAGAGAGTGACTATGTTCACTGGGAGGTGCCAAACTCCCAGCCTTCCCAGAATTCCTGCCACTAAAGTGGAGCCACAAAGAACACCTATAATCAATCGCCATTTGAAACTGACATCTATACTTTAGACATGTTGAGTCTGCAGACCACAAAATGTGAAAACGCTCACTTTATTATTGTTTACGCAGAGAGAATTGTGGACCCAGAACGATCAAAGGGACCTGAAACTATCAAATTTCAGCAGATTTTAAGGCCTCTTTCAATCATTATCGTTAGATTGACGAGTGAGACGAGATGAATACATGGTGAAAATCAATGACAAGAGACGTAAAAGAGCAAGTGCGCAACTCTGCCTGGGGGTCTGCTAAGGAAGTAAGAATGATGGTGGATGAGAGACGGGCATGTGACGTCGCCCGCTGCCCCCGCCATGCACAGGAGTGCCGCTTTAACCTGTGGGGCCACTTGATTAAATGGATGAGCTCACATCCTTTTCGTTTCACCCGCTGCCAGGCCTCACCCCCTTCCTCCATCGTGAATTATTAACTCCCACCTCCCACCCTCTGCTAGTCCCGTGCACTGCTGGACGGCAAAGGGCAACGCAATCTTCCCGGATACCGTGAATACAGTATATCACTGGCATAACAGGTCAACATGAGACTACAGGAAAACTAAAAGCTGGACGCAGTTACAGCACCTGGGGTACATGCTTCCCGACGAGCACAGAGAGGGGGGGTAATCAGCCTGGACTGTTCCCCCCCAAGATGCATCACCTTTAATCAGCACCAGCATACGTCCGCAAAGCCAAAGAGTGCCATACCAACGAGCGGGGGGCAGGGGTGGGGGGTGGTTAGAATGAGTTACGCGGCCAGTGAGCCGCAGCAATGCAGCCAAAGAGGAGCGAAAAATAAAACTTCACAGCAAATAAAACCATCGAAGCCCCGTTATGGTTGGTGCCGGAGCGCATCGTGCTGTGGGGTTGGACCAAGCTCCGTGTCAGTTAATCTTTGCCTGGTCTATTTCGGCTGGTACCATCTGAAGACACTCGCAAATCGACACCGTGCACGAGCCAAATATTCACCGAGAGCAACCATGAGGCTGGAGGAGCTCAGTGTAAGGGGATAGGGGGGTGGAGACCTGGGGAGGAGGATGAGAAGGGGGTGATTAACGCTGAAGGGTATGGAGAGAGAGGTCAGAGAAGGCAGGGAGGGAAGCGCACAGGAGTTCTGCTGAAAGATGACAGAGGAGCAGAAAGTGGCAGGGGTCACCCAGACGCGGAAACTCACTGCTCAGCGCTGATGTACTCCTCTTCTATGGGTTGGCAGAGCACCTTGCCAAGCCGGACCCCGTTCTGGATGTCCCGGAAGTGCAGGCCAAGGTTCTCCCCCGTGATGGTCAGCCGGGTTCCACCCTGTCTCGGCCCCGTCTCTGGGAAGAGCTGTGAGGAAGAGGAAGAAGACTGGCATTAGGGGACAAAGAAAGAGACAGAAAATCACGAATAGAGCAGGGGGCCATACAAGGCTGTAGGTTTAGTCCAAATCAGGCAAATATGTGCCCAAATTCTCCGTACTGCGAGGGAAACGTCTGTGGCAGAACCCGCCAGAAAAGAGAACAAAAACAAACCATGCCAAGCTCTAAATCTACCGGCTTTCATTTTAATAGAGAAAAATGGCTCCCGTCCGCTCTGGACTCCACCAAACGCGCTGCCTTAATCTAAACGCATTACCCCCGCGCCCACCTCCCCGGGCCGCAGGGGCCGGCTAATGCGATTTGTTTAGGGGAATTATTCCCCGTGAATTGGACAGGTGTGGTATGACAAAGCAGACATTGTGAGTGATGTGTGGTGCAGAGCAGGGCCGTAATGAAGTAATTATAGGTAATTTCTGGGCCCTGGCTTGTTCTGCTCACCGGAGCCCGTCCACATCCCGGAAACAGAGCCCAGCTGGACTTCTGCAGTGGAACCAACAACTGAGAGTCTGTTACCGCAGTTTGTGCGAGTTCACCGGGGTGGGGGTGGATATAGTGAAGTGATCAGAGAGCATGAACATCAGGGGCTGTATAAAAGGCATGGGGTGAAAATATATGGCCTATGGCCTTCCAGAAGCTTTCACTGCGCTCAGTTTACGGTCACTTTACTCAGGTGTGCGGCTTTAACCGGACTGCATGGCGCTCTGTGGAGCGGCAGCAGCAAGGAGCTATTACACAAGGAACAGAAACACACTCGTGTCACACAGGGGTGCTGCATTCAGAGGACACCTGAAATGCCGGGGGTGTGTGTGTGTGTGTGTGTCTGTCTACAGTTACAGGGGGCTTCAGACAGCGACGTTGCCCCCAGCCCAATGAGCCACGCAAGCCCCAAGCGAGTGGGGGGCAACAGACAGACCTCTATAATTGGTTTCAGAGGGGTCGTCAGGGATGGAAGCTCACCCCGGTCGTGGGGGATTTGGGGGGCAGGAGTGTAGGGAGAGCGGGTACACGGATGCCGAAATGAGATGATCTTACTGAGGTGGATCCTTCACGATTGCATCTGCTGACGGTTCAAAACTGGAGACTGAATAGAGGCAGAACCGTGTGGGGCGGTTCTGCCAGAGGATAACGCACGAAGGGCGCGTTAGGGCGTCACACCGTGTGGCGTTAGGGCGTCACACCGTGTGGCGGCAAAGGGCGTTAGGGCGTCACACCGTGTGGGGCGTAGGGCGTCACACTGTGAGGGGGCGAAGGGCACGTTAGGGCGTCACACCGTGTGGGGCGAAGGGCACGTTAGGGCGTCACACCGTGTGGTGGCAAAGGGCGTTAGGGCGTCACACCGTGTGGTGGCAAAGGGCGTTAGGGCGTCACACCGTGTGGTGGCAAAGGGCGTTAAGGCGTCACACCGTGTGGTGGCAAAGGGCGTCACACCATGTGGGGGCGTTAGGGCATCACACCGTGTGGGGGCGTTAGGGCGTCACACCGTGTGGGGGCGTTAGGGCGTCACACCGTGTGGGGGCGTTAGGGCGTCACACCGTGTGGGGGCGAAGGGTGTTAGGGTGTCACACCGAGTGGGGGCGAAGGGCGTGTTGGGGCGTCACACCGTGTGGGGCGAAAGGCGTGTTGGGGCGTCACACCGTGTGGGGCGAAAGGCCTGCTAAATACACAGAAAAGAGTAATGCCATACGACCCAGTGAATAAACCGGTTATTAAACCAATGAATCAATTAGGGAGGGGTCGGGTAGCGGGGAGGGGTGGGGGAGGGCGGCCCTGTTTTATTTCCTACAACACATGGGGGCGAAGGCTGTGTAATTATAATTTGTCTTTGAAGGATGAACAGACAGTAAGCAGCTCATCAGGTGAGGAGCAGATGGGCAGCCGGGAGAGTCGGGTGCCAGGGCAGACAGGGCAGCACATGGACAGCACATGGGCGGCTTCTGCGGCCGTCATTCGAGAGCAGACTGATGGGGGGCAAGGCGATACTGCGGGTTCGAGACACTCCCCTGGGGAAGCCATTATCACCGGGAAAACAAAGATGAGCGACTGCATGTCAGCCTAACGTAGATAAAATAATAGTAGTAATAATAGTAATAATAACAATAATAACAAAAAAAACAAACAATGTGATTAAGTCATCATTAATAACGAAACAGAACAAAACTGGACAAAACAATGTTGTTCTTAGTAGTAGTAGTATTAATAATAATAATAATAATAATAATAATAATAATAATAATAATAAACTAGCCTTCCCAGGAGAGTGTGCCTGCAACAAAAAAGGAAGTTTTTTTAGTCAGTTAAGGAAGAATAAATATGAGAATATGATGTTGAAAGATCATAAAAACCCTCCAATCCAAATGGAATGGTCTAATAACGCTCATCTCCACATTTAGGTGTCAGGCTGAGAGGAGCCTGTCCTCAGCAGCGAACCCTGCGTGCCCGTACCCGTTCCTATGGGCTACCAGAGCAGAAGAACCCGGCGTGCCCGTACCCGTTCCTATGGGCTACCAGAGCAGAAGAACCCGGCGTGCCCGTACCCGTACCTATGGG